ACAAGCTGTGAGGGGAATGGAATCGGTGTCCACAGATCTGCATTTTTGCAGGAACAGAGCTCTGCTTGTTCAGTTGATGGTAGCAACTCGATTACTCACGCTTCCTCGTTTTGTAACACGACTCATTTACCAAATCTCAGTTATTATACTTAATGCTCCCTCTAAATCTGCTTAAAGTTGGATTTGCTTCAGAACATGTCATTTATTTTATCTTGAAATCGTCCAGGGTTTTATATAATTTGAGGGAGAGCCTGCAGTTTACCAGAAAATATAAATTCGGTCCAAATAGAGAGTATAAATATAACACGTTAACTATAAGCCTGTTGGATATACATTAATAAATTAAATGTAAGTATACACATTAACATAGAATTATAATGCTGTCTCCGTCTGTTGTCTGTTACTGTTACAGAATACTTGGGACGAGTCTTTGATCAAGCGTAGAAGTTGATTTGGCTCATGATTCTGGAGGCCGGGAATACAGGACGGTGGTGATTATTTCTCAGATGCTTGTATTTGACCCCAAAGGCAAACTTTGGTTCCATTTCCTGCATTTTCCTGCTGAAGTTGGGGGACATTTATTCTGTAGGAAACAAAATACAGGACCTACTTCCTAAAAGCTACAGGGAAAATGGGAAGTGGGATCAGCCCACTCTATTTCTTTAATTCTTATGGTTTAATAATGACTGAAGTTTAAATTCCTTTATATAAACCCCCCTCCCTTCAATTAATATTTATTAAGATGGTTGTCTCTGTGTTGGGCACTCGGCCAGGGGTGAGAGAGCTGGGGAAGAGCAGGAGATATTGCTGGACTCTGTCTTCAAGGTGTTTCAGGCTGGGGGTGTCTTACTAAGGGTTCTGGGAGTGTGCTTCAATGGTGGGCCATATGCTCAGTGTGCCCGAGGCCCTGGTTCAATCCCCAGCACTTAAAAAGAAAATAAAAAAATACTCTTTTCTCTGCCTTTTCCTTCTCTCTCCCCTACCTCTGGCAACAGCAAAAACACCCTTAACATCATAAATAAAAGCAAATTATATTATACCACGGTTCTAAGCTAATAGGAAAATATTTGAGATCAAATGAATCTCTCCATTTTAGTTATTTCCTTTAAAAAAACATTTTACATAGTAACAAAATCGTCAATGGTGAATCATGGCTGGTCATGGGCGGTTGATTTGGTTGTCCACAGTTTAGTATTTTCAAAACCGCAGGCTGATTCCGGTTGTTCCTCCAACTCTGGTTATATTAAAGACAGTGCACGAGATGGCTGATAGTTCTCTTTTCAGATGCTTGTATCTAGATAACCAGTTTTCATTCATCTTGATCCCTCCCATGTGGGTGTCTTTGAGTGAATGGAGTGTTTTCTTTGCTGGAAGCTTTTGAAGAATTATTTTTTCTTTAAGGGAAAAAAAAAAAATCAAAAGGGCTAGAGATGGAGAGACTTTGAAAATGTCATCGAAATTACAGCCGGGTGCAGCCGATTGAACTTCTAGAAACTGAAAGTTGGCTGGACTGGCGTTCATGTTTGATCTGGTTAAACCAACAAAATGCAGGATGTAATCTTTCTATGATTATGGAAGTCCCACTGTCTGATCCTACCTGGAGGTTACGGTAATGATGCGCCAGCAAAGCTCTTTCGAAGGCACTTTGATGCTTCGCCTGGGGGCTGGCCTGACGCCAGAAGAAGACTTTATTGCAAATGCTGTGTTTTATTTTGCTTGTCAAGTGGCTGAGCCGGCGGAGGCTCTTGTAGCAGGAGGAAGAGCTTCCCCTGGGGTGGGGTGACGCAGTGAGTGGGGGGGTTTGGAATTTTCCATGATTCGTTTGCTCACGGAGCATGACAGGTAAGCAAATTATGGGGTCGGTATCACTGGGACACATGGGCACACCTGGGCCAAACAGAGTGGCCAGCGAAGTGAGGGTTTGGCTAACCGGCTACCTGATGCTGTTCAGCAGATGCTTTGCAGAGATAAATGCTGTGCTAAAGGCTGAGAGATGGCTGTAGGGGTACAGAGCAGCACAGGACCTTGATGTGGGGCAAAATAAGACACTGGGAGAAAAACAGGACACCTAAGATCCTCAAAGGAATGAGACATATATTTTAGGGGAAAAAAAGTATACATACATGCGTGTGTGTGTGTGTGTGTGTGTGTGCTTAATTGCATGTGTATATGTGCAGGTGGGTGTGTGGCAAATGTCTTTGTAGAACAATCTCCATGAATGAATCCAAAAGACAAATGATGTACTGGAGAATCCTAACAAATATACAGCCTGTGGACCATCCATGCCGGCCAGTCAAATTGGAAATAAAGCAAAAGTACTAAGTCGCTGCACATTCCTAGTGTGGGCAAATGCTGAGAGGCGGCTACCTCCCAGAGACAAAAACAGGAGAGGCAGCCCTCATATTGCAAAGACTGTATTTTTGTATTTGCAATAATGAATGCTTTTGAATCTCACTGATCAGGCGGAATCAGAGAGTCCAGGCTGAGTGCTATCCATTACGGCAGGGAGATGTTAAGTGTGGGATCATTCCTCTACTCCTAAAAACAATAATGAAGGAGCTGGGCTGGGTGGCACACGCCTGTCATCCCCGCGGCTTGGGAGGCTGAGGCAGGAGGATCGCGAGTTCAAAGCCAGCCTCAGCACAAGAGAGGTGCTAAGCAACTCAGTGAGACCCTGTCTCTAAATAAAATGCAAAATAGGGCTGGGGATGGGGCTCAGAGGTCAAGTGCTCCTGAGTTCAATCCCCAGTACCCCCCCCCCCCCCCAAAACCCAACAAAGAAAACGGCCCCCCCCCCCCCCCCCCCCCCCCCATATCTAAGTTCCTGCCAATCATCTTGTAAATCTTTTCATGGATTCTCTTTAATCATCTTAAGCACACTCTCTTCCCTGATCATAATCATCTTCAGTACTTGCTTGCTATTGCCCCAAATACTTCTTTATATGGACAGAGCTTTTTATTTAATGTGAGAGGGAATTTTTGCTTTCAGTGAAGCTGCCTTGATTGAGATAATGCATTGGTATTAATTCTCAATAAAATGTAACAACGTAACAGCTGGGCTCTGGGGCTTATGAGCCCTTCTCATTGGGGTGGGTGGGTAGAAACCAGCAAGTTGCGGAGCATGGGGTTTGTGGGGCAGGGAGAGGGTTTGCATTGGGAAACTGGGGTCCCAGTGCCGATGGTGATCTTTGCGGGGTTCTTCTGTGTTTTTTGTTAAAGTTTGTCCACTCTCTGTACAGTCAGGGTGCAGAGGAAACAAGGTATTCCATACCTTTCTCATGGATATAATCTTGTCTTTTATTTTCTTAACCCTCGGACATTTGCTAAATTAAAAAAAAAGTGAATATCTAGAGATAAGTCCAAATCCACTATAATCTACTTCTTACCCATTTACCTGATTTCCTCCTTTCTTCTCTACCCAAGCCACCAATCTGAATGGCAGATTGATTGATTGCAGTGCTGGGGATTGAACCCAGGACCTTGGTCATGCCAGGTGATCACTCTACCACTGAGCTACATCATGCCCTACTGCTTCCCGAACATAGAATATTCAAAACCATCCATGTCCATTCTTATCTCTCCTTTCCAAGATTGGAGACCGGGGGATTCCTCCATAACCCAGTGCCAGTCTCACCCCTGTGTGTGACTGTGGCTTTCCTTACTGAGTGGGGGACTGGCCTTGACCCAGCCTTACTGCTTTCCAACCCCAAATAATGAGTGTGAAACTCTCGCGGTGAGGCCAGGTTGTGCTCAGATGGATGCGTTCCCTGGAAGTCCCAGCAGGAGCCAACTGTGCCCAGAACAAACAGGGGACACCAGCATCTCACTTAGTAAATTCGTCTTGGTGTCTCCAAAGCCGAGAACAAGGCATAGGAGGCCTTAAGTTATGGTTTTATTTTATTTGGCAGGAGTAATAATAGGGGTTGAACTCAGGGGCGCTTTACCACTGAGATTATGCAATAGTACTCTGTTCACGCAGATATTCTTCAAGGTCAAAGCCTAGAGCTTCTAACCTGGGAAATGGGCCACCTAACTCCATCCCCACCCTTAAATCTCCGAGAACTGGACACCATGGTGTCTCACCTGTTGGGCGATTGATGGTTTCTTCCTAGCTTTGCTGACACCCCAGCCCGGCACAATCCTACTTGAAATATCACAAGCAGAGGGAAATCGTGTCCAAAATGTTAGTTATGGTGCATGCGAGGTTCCCAGGTGGAAATGTTCAGGATAATAAGTAAGCTCCGCCGCGTGTTATCTATTAAGTGAATGTGAAGCATGCTAAGTGCTTTAGCCACACCATCACACACCGCAGAAGGAGGTTTTAAAGGTCAGCAACAGATTGCGATCATGACGGTGGTCCCGTCCGGTGACAGTTGAATTGAAAACTCAATGTGACCTACTTTGAAGGTACCGCATTTGTATTCAGATATGTTTACATTCGTGAATAGGATTGTTCCAATTGCCTGTGGCATTCGGTACAGTGACATGCTGTGGAGCCTAGGAGCAAAGGCTACACCCTGTCGTCAGGGCGTGTCATAGGCTGTACGATCTAGGTTCACGCCCGACCACTCCACGGTGTTCATACAGGAAAAGGAAACGAGAGGCTCGTCCTGTGAGCTCTGCCTCTCATGATTGTCATTTGGCTGAGCTCAAAAGCCTCCAAGATGCCCAACTTGTACATTTCCCCAAACTGCCAACTCTGGACAAAATGCCTACTGTTCGTGTCCCTGGGAGTCTGTCTCGTGGCTCCACACACCGTGAGAGTTGGCTCAGACCCTCTTCCCTTCTAGACATCTTGGAATCGTCCGTGCTTCATGTCTTTATTTATATCGTAAAGTTGATGACAAAAGTAGCCATTACCTTAGAAACATGTTTTCTTCCTTAGAAACGCATCAACATTGCAAGATGGGTCTTTTTAAAAAGTAAATATTTTTAAATTATACACAATTAGAAAATCATTAAATGGGTCAATCTCTCTCTTTTTTTTTTCTTTTTTGCAGAATAACGGCTCCCTGGTTTGGTGCCAGAATCACAAGCAATGTTCGAAGGTACGTTTCCTACAACTGTGTTCTTACTGTAACCAGCTGTTAATTTTGGAATGGGGAGTCACAGGAAGTGGCAGAGTGCAGAGAAATCACATGCATCCAGTTTCTACGAGTGGTTACATGTTACACTTCACAAAAAATTGAAGAATCTTTTATTTCATAACCAAAATTTCATGTGAGAAGCACCTAACAATATTGAAACCACTTGTGTGTGTAACATGACTGTTTTGAAAGGTCTTTTAGACACATTGTCTTAAATGATAGAAGGATAATATTTCTAAACTGCAGATTCTGCACACACTGTGTCATTTAATGGCATCAATGTTATTTAAAAGTGGAACAGGACTCCTCATGCTGTGTGAAATGAGTTGGTGAGAATACGCTCTGCTTACCTCTGACTGTGTAGATCTGAAACAGAAATGAAATCTGGTTTAGGATCCATTTACTCTCTTTATGGAATAGCCTAGGCATTTGCTCTGATAAGTCATTTCCTGGTGTCTGTCATATCAATTCATTCTTCAGCTGGAATTTTGGGTGATTTATTTATGTCATCATTGCAGATGAACTTTTGGAATCTGTCTCTCTACTTATCTGTCTGTCTTACTATGAGACTTACTAAATTTCAGAAGTGTTGTTTTGAGTTGTTGGACATTACATGAATGATAATTTGTTTTATAAGTGTTTTTTCTTAATTAAGCACTCATTTTCTCATTATTCCATGGAGAAATTAGTTTTTTTTTTTTCAGACTTGAAGGTCATTTGAATAGAATAGGGTCATGTGACATATTTACGTAAACATTGCAATGAAAGAAAATGGCATCATAGATTGTTAAACCATATTTTGCAACTGAATCATGAAGATTTGACTTCAGTCTTTGAATTTTCCAGGAAAAGCAGTCAATCTCTTTTGCAGGAAAGCAAGAATGGATCAATAAGCCACAGCTAACTCCATCAGAAACTATGGAATACATTATAAAACTAACATAAGTTGAAGAATTACCTTTCATTTGTGATCTTAGGGAATCCTTGGTATGAACCTTACATATTAAGCAACCTTCATCTCCTTGGGTGTTGTCACAACTGGATACAAGAACACAAGATCACAGTGTGTGCATTTCTCTGGAGGTTCATGAGATAGCATATAGGTTTTTTTCTCTTCAACTGTAGGCTACTGAGTTCTATTTTATAGAATAGGAAATTCTGGAATGCACACATTTGATCACAGTCCTGGAATCACTTAACAATAAGTAGAGATAACGCTGAGGTCTAGGTCCCTGTCTGCCCTGTACCGTGTTGTATTTGGGTCAACAATTTTAAAAAATCCATTTTAAACAAATATTGAGACAGAACAATTTAAAAAAACCACAGAAGTAAGGTTGACAATATGATTTTTAAATATTTTTACATATTTTTCTTTTTGTTCTAATTGGTTCTACATGACAGTTGAATGCATTTTGATACATCATACATAGATGGAGTATAACTTCTCATTCTGCTGGCTGTACATGATGTAGAATCACACCAGTTGTGCAGCCATATACACACACAGGGTCCTAATGTCTGATTCATTCTACCCCATACCTCTTCCCCTCGTTTTACTGCCCTGTACCTAATCCAAAGTACCTCAGCTAAATTGCTGAGGCCGGCCTTGAACTTGCGATCCTCCTACCTCAGCCTCCTGAATGGCTGGGGTTCCAGGCATGCGCCACTGTGCCTGGCTCACAGTATGATTTTCTTATTAGATATTATAAGATAGGGATTGCGTAATGTTTGATAGACACCTCACACTTCCCTGTGACTTCTGGTTACTATCTGAGAAGCCAGTGAGGTCTCCTTCAGAGTCCCTCCAGGGCAGGATCACTCTGCCCCCGCTAACTGCTCACCTCCCCCGCTGCCACCATCTCTCTCCCCCGGATGAACCTGAGCACATACTCATGGGTGTCCCGGACCCTACTCCTGCTCCAGACACTCTCATCTCCACTGATTCCGGGAAAGACCCTTCAGACAGAGCAGTAGAATCCTGCTGCCTGTACCCTACACGTCATTTCCCGGTCACCCAGACTAAGCGCCCAGGCTGTCCTTGGTCTCATTGTGCCTTGTGCCTGTCTTGTTATATGTTGGCTCAGAGGAGTCCCCCAGGAGCTCATGTGTGAGACAATGCAAGAAAGTTCAGAGGAGAAGTGACTGGGTGATGAAAAGGTGTAACCTCATCAGTGGATTAATCCACTTGAATGGATTGACTGGGTGGAAACTGCTTTGACCGTAGGCTCTGGATAAACTTTGAGCACCGTTCATCTGAGAGTGGCTCCCTGAATGTCCGTGCACTGTTCTGTGGGAGCCTGCAGCCCCCTCTTTCCTCCTGTGGGCTCGATCTCCATGGCTGGACTTCCGCTTCCCGTTGGGTTTGGAGTTTGTGTATTGAAGCAGGAGTTTAGGGACTCCTCTTGGTGCCTGGGGGGCGCTGCTTTGATCTCAGTGGGAGTTCGGTTCCTCCAAGGGCTACCCTCCAAATTCTTGGTCATTTTCCAGGTTGATTCAGAGCCCAATTGAGAGGTGAGGAGGATTGGTTTTGCTTTCAAGAACATCTGCACAGATTCACTTGACATCTGTGAAATTTATTGGACAAGGGTCAACCCTCTGGAACACAAATGTATGTGACTATTGAAGGTTTTTTGTTTCGTATTAGATGCGTGCAAAGATTTATGTGATAATAACAGTAAATCCATAAAGCCCAAGGAAAACATGTCTCGGGAGCAAAATGAAACCACAGACATACATGGAAATGCGCTCAATCTCCAAATACCCCAGAACAAAGCGGAGTGTCTGTTTTGGTTTGCGGTGCCAATAAACCATGGATCAAAATTTCAGAGGCATTATGTACTTTCAGCCTCTTATAATACTTCCTGCATTCATGCAATATTCCCTGACTTTAAGTGCTAAATCCAAGGGCAAAGTTGATGTGGAGCAAGCATCCCTTATCCAATGTACTGGTCTGGTTTTGGAAGCTAGGAACCGCCTCACAGAGAGACCTACCTTTCACAGAGTCTCAAAAGAGAAGTGCAGGCTCATGCCCCTCTGGGATAGAGCATCCATCTAGTTTCCTGAAGAAAACTTCTCAGTGGTATATAATGAATTCTTCTTTACCTTGGATGCCAACGTCAATATTTTTTCAAGGAAAGATCACGTCTTGATTGCCTAGGAGAAAATGAATATGATGTGATAGTATTAGAAGAGGAAAGAGAAATATTCCAGGATTTCCTTAAACCCATGACAGACTTAATTTTCTTGATGGTTTGTATATGAATAGTTTCCTGCTCATTCTGGTGCATGCCTGTGACCCCAGCAACTCAGGAGGTTGAGGCAGGAGGATCACGGGTTCAAAGCCAGCCTCGGCAATTTAGCAAGACCCTGCCTCAAAATTAAAAGTAAATAGGGCTGAGGATGATGTGGCTCAGTGGTTAAGCGCCCCTGGGTTCAATCTGGGTACCTAAAAAGAAGAAGGCAGGGGGGAAGAAACGGTTTGTGTGTGTGTGTGAGCTTTCAAATAGTTTTCTCTAGAAAAAGCGTTAATACAGTATTATACTAACATAACTAATGTTTAATTAAAAGTTAAATGCAAATTTGTCTGACGATCCTATAATATCATCACCAAAAATAAAATAAAATAAAAGCATGGTTTTAAGTAGCTCAATGGCCTTTATGTCAAACTTGACCTTTTGAATAGCAAATGACCACCAGGAAGCCTAGTCCATCACTTCATGAGCAAGGTCATTTACAATGACATCATCCAATATGACCCTACAGGAGCATTAGGGGGAATACCATCTCTGATATAAAGGCTGAAATACAAAGAAAAAGGGGGAAAGAAAAAAAGAGAGAATGTGGGGGAAAAAATACCTTCCAGAGAGGGTACTCAGCACGTGCCATTTTCTTACGAGGTAAAGGAATTTTTTAGTCCTGGGATGGGAGAGAAACTTCCGGAAGCTTCCAGCCCTGTGCCTACCAGTGATTCTGCAAGTACACGGGCGGGTTCAGGATTTCAGCATTTGGAGAGGTGCCGCACCCCCTCCATCTGTCAAAGCCCCAGGAATGCAAGCCGAGGGTTCTAATTGGAGCCTCTAGCAGGGGGGACAACCTGAAGGGGTGTCCTAGATTGGCGTCCGCTGACCACCGCAGTGCTTATGCTAAGTGTTTTCCGCCTGCCTGCTGGGGACTTTCATCAGACATATTAGTTTGCACGTGGCTGATCTTTAGCCGGCAGGAACCGGCGCATTCCAGGTCATGTGGGCCCCCACACTAGTGTATCTGCTAAAAGACCGAGCACCGCTCCCCGCTAGGTAGGTAACACACTCAATACTGAAGGCAAAGAATGGGTTCTTATGCAGATCCAAATCCCATCAGTGACAAGTTAACGGCTCAATGTGTTTCTGATTTTCCACGTCCCGTTTTGCGGGTGTGAGAGTCTTCCCCCTGCTGCCAACTTCAAAGGACAGACGGTGGAAGGGAGCAAGCTCCCCCGTGTAAGTCTGAGTCCTCATTCTTTCCGAAGCGCTTACTATTCATTTCCCCTTCCCTGGGATGAAAGGAGACGCCAGTGAAATGTCTGACTTGGTTCACGATTGAAGAAGGGCTCCTGAAGTCTGGCCGGAGAAGGGCAGTGTGTGTGGAACATGTCAAAACCCTCAGAATCGAGTCCCACTGCGGGGCGATCCCAGCCGGACAGATGTTGGGAAGTTGTAAGGTGTTTATCAGCAGGCCTGCGGGGCATGCAGCTCAGCCACTGTTGGAAGATGTTAGGGATCCAGATGGTCCCTGCAAAGAAGCACCCAGGCCGACTGAGCTTTGGGGACCCGTATGTTTGGGAAAGGAGATGACGTTGGATTTTCATAGCTGGGTGGGTCAGCATCTGGGAGCATGGAGCATGCAGCATGAGATGCACTGTGTTGCACACCCGGCCCCATGAGCATCACTGCACAAATATTCTCCACAGGAGCAAAAACTCT